ATTGCATCACTAACCATTATTGAATTCATCCTTAGAGAATCTACCCTATATTTAACAAACCCTAACCACGTCCAGCGTTGACGTAAACACCTCCCCATTTCCACATGTGGACAAGCTCCAAACATAAATAATGCCTACAAGACACATACATATACATGTATATACATACACATTGATATATGCATTATCGTCTGAATCCCACAAACTAGAATACTGATACACTTCCACACATATCTTTCTATTATAAAATATTTCTTTAAGTAATATTGTCCTATTTTTTATATATGTTTGTTACTTTAATTTAAAAAGTTGCATTAATTTCCAGTTATGTACTGGACTACGTCTGTTCTAAGGAGTTGTCCTATTGTCATTATTATTATTATTAATATCATTATTATAATTATTATGATAGATAGATAGATAGATAGATAGATAGATAGATAGATAGATAGATAGATAGATACAAAATTGAAATAGATAGATACATACATACATACATACATACATACAAAATTGAAATGTATAGATAAATAGATAGATAGATAGATACATACATACATACATAGATAATGTGCAAAACTGAGATAGATATGTACAAAATTTAGATAGATAGAGAGATAGATAGATAATGTGCAAAATTGAGATAGATAATTTGCAAAATTGAGATAGATAGATAGATAGATAGATGTGCAAAACTGAGAGAGATATGTACAAAATTTAGATAGATAGATAGATAGATAATGTGCAAAATTGAGATAGATAATTTGCAAAATTGAGATAGATAGATAGATAGATAGATAGATAGATAGATAGATAGATAGATAGATGTGCAAAACTGAGAGAGATATGTACAAAATTTAGATAGATAGATAGATAGATAGATAGATAGATAGATAGATAGATAGATAGATAGATAGGAATTGGCTAGGATAGCTAGCTAGCTAGCTAGCTAGCTAGATAGATAGATAGATAGATAGATAGATAGATAGATAGAAAATTGAAATAGATAGACAGATAATGTGTAATACTGAGATAGATATGTACAAAATTTAGATAGATAGATAATGTGCAAAACTGAGATAGATAGATAGATAGATAGATAGATAGATAGATAGATAGATACATACATACATACATACATTTCAAAGATCTAATCTAACTTGTGTCGCAGAAATAATTAATGTTTTATCCTTCACAGCCACACTGCATGTTTAACTTCCTTCCGTCGTCATTTTGCCTTGTCAGGTACCATAGAGTTATTTTCTCTCTGAGTCGACCTTCCCTGACATGCGGATCAGTAATTTTCTTATAGTATCTTGACGTGGGCCTTTGCCAAACAAAAAAAAGTCTCTAAATAAATGTGTTTTAATAAATAAGTCAGAAAAAGAAAGGAGACATCCGATTTTTTCCTATTTTTTTATCTTTTTACCCATCAATGTATGAGAGAAAATGATGCCAGAAAAATTCGCATTCAGGTTCTTACATTTCGTATTTCTTGGCAGATCTATTATCATAATGTGGGATGCTTAATAACAAAAGACATATTAAAAACACTAAAAACTCAAAAAACTAAATGGAATTAGACTATATATCCAAACACACACCTATTCATATATATATATATATATATATATATATATATATATATATATATATATATATATATATATATATATATATAATTTTAAAAGAGTTTAAAGTTTCAGTGTCCCCCTCCCTTTCATTAGCATGTGCACTGAGATCAACGGAAACGTCACTTTTCCGAAAATTTTGTCCGTTGGGTGATTAATTTTATTAACACATCTATGTAGTTAAATGGAATAAATCTCTTATATGATTCGCAACAATAAAAAAGAAAGAATTCATTCTCATATATATATCTTATTGATATCTTTAATTTTTTTTATTTTTTATTTTTACAAAGTAGTGCTCAATGTAAATTTACAGAGCATAAAAATTATAAATTAACTGATTTAAAATATGGTGTTCTCTTGAAGATGAAATGGAACTAATGTTTTTAATTTAAATACAAAATTAAATATGAAGGTCTTAGCTTCCATTTTTGAACCATGGTTATAACTGTGTAGCGAAAAAAGACATTTTAAACCAGTTAATTTATAATATATATACATTTATATATATATATATATATATATATATATATGCATTTATATATATATATATATATGTGTGTGTGTGTGTGTGTGTGTGTGTGTGTGTGTGTTATATTTATGTTTATATGTATATTCATAAATGATTTGTCCCCAGCAGATTGGTTAGACAAATAACTTTGACAGGCAAGAATACATACACGTTAGTGCTCGTTCAGCTATCGTGACATGCCAGTAACTTAAATGCACACGCACACACACACACACAGACAGATAGATAGATAGATAGATAGATAGATAGATAGATAGATAGATAGATAGATAGATAGAATTCGTTAAGAAAAAAGGATTGCGTTTATCTAATTTTTCTTGTGTTTTTAATATTTTTTGTACTTTGGACATAAACTATGTAGAAATTGTCATAATGTTCTGTACGTCCGATCTATCTATCTCTATCTATCTATCTATCTATCTATCTATCTATCTATCTATCTATCTCAGTGCCTTCATATCTATCTATCTATCTATCTATCTCAGTGCCTTCATATCTATCTATCTATCTATCTATCTATCTATCTATCTATCTATCTATCTATCTATCTATCTCAGTGCCTTCATATCTATCTATCTATCTATCTATCTATCTATCTATCTATCTATCTATCTATTAGCCATTATCAATGATGATTTTTATTTTTACTTTTAACTGATGTATGGATTTTTTTCATATATGTCTCTACTGTTATAGGAATGTTTTATTTTCCTAATACTGTCATCATATTGTGGCCGTGTTCATTGTTGATATTGTTGGGTGTTGGCTTTTCTTTTTTTATTAATAATGCTTCCATTATTTTTATTATTTTTTTTTACATTACTTATATCCAGAAAAGAATTTAAAAAAAATTGTAAGAACACAAGAAAAATGAAACAAAAAACTTAACAGCAGTAACTTGTCAATCGGTTTTAACGAAACTTGTATAAAAGTGGCATTGCTTAAATACATACATACATATATATATATATATATATATATATATATATATATATAATATAACAAATGAATGGCAAAGTGAAAAAATTGCGTAACATTCTTATATATAGAAATTTATATATCATATTCATTTTCATATATATATATGTACATATAAATACACACACACACACACATATATATATATATATATAGATAGATAGATAGATAGATAGATAGATAGATAGATAATCATATATAATTCTGTATAATTTTATATATCAGCAATGAGTATTTAGAAATATACCGATGAAATTAATTGATGAAACGCGTTACAAGAAATTTTCCATTTGTCATATGTTTATATATATATATATATATATATATATATATATATATATATATATATATAATATTTTTTGTTTAAAAATATGATTCATTCGCTACATATAAGTTCTCATATTTCAAAAAACGAGAGCCGAAGCCATCCAAATAATTACTAAAAATATGTTGAATTGAGATGTTTAGTCCCGTTTCATCTTCAAGCGAAATTTTAGGAATCTAAAATTCAATTCAATTACACTTTTAGGAATCTAAAATTCAATTCTAAATTCAACTTAATTTTAATAATTATTTGGATGGTTTCGGCTTTCGTTT